GAGTTTGATTGAATAGCACTTCAGGACACGATTAGTTAACAAGATCGAAATCCAATTTGATAATCAGCCTGTTTATTGGTAACATTTACGATGCATAACGTGTGTACGTGTCTGTCAGTGTGTGTCTGTGTTCCTTGGCGTGGTAGAAAAGTGTAATCTGTGCGTCGAACTGAGAGGTCTCCTGCTGCCATGCAGGTTTTGGAACCACCTGCTTCAGTGAGCAGAAGCTGCAGAGAGACGAGGTTGTGTTGTTGTGAAGTTCTTTACTAACTCATTATTACCTACTGCTGTATATTATGTAGTCCTCTTCTCATAAATACTCAGCAGCTACCTATAAACAATTCATCCATTATCAGGTAGTTACTGACTTGTTCCTCATTAGTTGTTTACTCACAGTTTCCTATTTCCACTTCCTGTTCTGGATATTGAACTCTAGTTTCTATAAATACACTTTTTAGAAATTGCTTTAGACAATAGCATCTGCCAAATCTGAAGGCACAGGGAGTAGGATTTTCCTAGAAGAAAATGGATACATTCATAGAAAAATAATCCCTGTCAATCATCATACTTAAAGTTTCTAGGGTTTGAGCTCTATAAAACGTACTGACCAGGTGCCAGATTGTAAGAACGCACCCAAAAGGAAGATAAGAAAATGGGAAAACGCAAATACAGAGAGGCAAAACGCCAACCGCATAAAGCTCCTTCCAAGTTGAGAGTGAATCCTGGGATAGCTTTCACCTGCTGGCGTGCACCATAACCCTCTTTGAGACGGGGGGAGGTAGAGCCAATTCAATGTTGTGTTTACAAATCAAAACCTACTCATTGTACATTCAATGTAATGTTACTTAATGTGAGCATTGTGCAACAATCTTGACGTTTAATGGTAGTTTGGAAATCAATCTAACATTATATGGCATGCTCTTTGAAATGTGTAACAGCAATGAAATGTGTCAGAAAGTTGTAGTAAATGGGCTTACTCTGGCTAAGACACTGGAGCGGTCCTTTAAGTCCCCTGAGCAGCTAAAACCTTTGATTGATGCCGTTTTGACACAACAGACATGGCACCAGCTGGTCTCAGGTTTAAAGGAAGTAGGAGATTGGAAATGGCCATAGCAAGAAAGACACACATGAATTAATCCTGTCCTTAAACTGTTTGTGTTTGTGTGCGTTTTGGTTTTGTGTGTAAAAGAGAGAGAGAGAGAGAGAGAGAGAGGGATAGATAGAAAGCAAGCAAGAAATGAATGTCAGTGTACTAACAACCTGAGGCTAAGTCACCTGATAGGGCTCGTTGTCAAACAAAGAGTAAACAGCGAGACTCGTTGGTTTGTTTAAACTGGAGTCAGAGGAGGGTTTAGAGTAAAAGGGCTGTGCCTGTGAAGAAACAGTCAGTCAGAATAACATAAGGTATAAAGACGACAACAAAAGTCATAACGGTAATGGATATTATGATAATCTACAAGATGGATTGAGCTCCAGTTAATATGAGACCGGATTAAGTGGGGACGAATTTGCCTGGCGTCACAGGGCAGGTGTGGTGTCAAACAGGTAGAGTTGTACTGAGTATTTATCAAGTGTAAATCTGGGACGAGTTACTTTATGCTAAGAAGCCGTATGAAGGATGAGAAAGTAGTATTTCCTGAATACTTCTTATCTTAATTTTTGCTTTTAAAGAGTATAATGACATGAAATATAACAGCCAATCAGATGACAATGATATATTCAGACAGTGTCGCAAGCTGTGTGGAAGCTAGTAAGCATGCTCTTAAATTCAGCATGTGTTTGGTAACTGTGAAGATAGCTTTGAAGAGGTGGCACACGATAAAAAAAAAGAATTGCTTTTTACTGATCTCACGATATTAATGGGAATAAGCATTATTACATCATTGTTATAATACAACATTGACATATAATGATAATAGTGGGATTACGTTTTTTAAAAGGATCTCTACCAACCAGATTTGTATTGACTCGAAGGCGAGACCTATCTGAAAGACCACAATACTTCATTCAGATATTTTACCATATTTTGCTTCAACCAAATACTGTGCCTCCTGCAATTTAGATACTGCACTAGCCTATATTGAGATTTGGATTACACTTTGATTAACTGTGCAGCCCTACCTTAAAGCATTGTGTACCCCACTATATACGGCCTTCTTTTGGTGATCTGTAGAAAAAGCAACGTTGCTTACGACGAAACTTGCTCCATAGCGTAGTGGTAGCTAAATGTACGTTTATGTATTATCGCTACTAGCTCCGTCATAATCATAATCATAATCAGAATACCTTTATTAGTCCCACAGAGGGGAAATTTGCAGCGTTACAGCAGGAAAGAGCCACAGACAGCTTAGTGTTGCATATCTGAAATGCAAAAATACAGATCAAAAACAAATCAAATCTACAAATCAAATCCAAATCAGTATTATTGTTTCAGAAAAAAGTGGCTGGCCTCGGTCAATGAGCTCATTCATAATGTTTAGCCTCTAGCGCTCCAGTGCGGGTTCAGTCTGCTGACATCTGACCATGACAAAGCTGCATTTTTAGAACTATATATTCTTTAAACATTGCATTTTATTTATTTTAATTACATCATTTATTTCTATTATTATAATTGTTATTTATTTTAGAAATGATATTTGTTTATGATTATCATTAATCTAGGTGCCTGACAGTCTAGTTCGTGATTTCCTCGAGACTTGTTATCTTCACAGTATTAATAAACCGTACACTAAAGTTCTGTAGCCAAGAGAAAAAGTCCAATGATTTCATATTCAGTTATAACGACAGAAACATCTTTGAAAAGGGGCTTTTTAGTAATGGTATAATAAATTAAAGAGGGGGGATGTAAGCACTTGCTCTAAAGTTACATACAAACATAATAGGTTTTGAACACTAATGGTTATGAGCGCTACAAATAAAACTAGAAAGACCTTTAATCCACACAGAACAACTCTACACAGCGTGGGAATGTCTTGTTGTTTATCTGTATAATGTGTGTTAGGAAAACGGAGCAAATAAAGTAAGGGTGGGATGAAAAGTCAATATTGCCCTCTACTACTTTGCCTTACCTGTCTTAGCTGTTCCATTGCAGCCCGTTTACAGTCACTGCGAGACACTCCCTTCCTGTAATCCGCTGGCTTTTCTGGTCCCTGGATGACCCTGCATTGTTGTTGTTCCTCCATCATTTCCACCTGTATTTTATGCATTCAGTGCTTTCAAACTGAAGTACATCGAATTCAATTATGCAGATGCTAAAATGGGCATGCAGGAAAAATGAAAGCTCTCCAGCCCTGGGCATTTTGGTGGAGTGGAAGTGCTTTTATTCAGCAAATGGAAAAGTAATGAAAAGCTGAAGAGGCCACGCTTCATGTTTTTATGGCTCTAAACTATATGTGTTCTTTTAGCTTTAATTACAGGGCTACTTTTGGCTGGATATATCATTCGTAGCACGTTTAAACATCCGCTTGGCAGATGTGGCCAGTAACTGAGGAATTGTTTTTCAGGTTGCCCTGATAGAAGCCATCTTCACACAAATGTTTGCACATCAAAATGCCCCAAGGATTGATACTGAAAACTACTTCACCTTCCAGCAGCTTCTCACGACAGTATCTGACCACAATGAGCCGGATATCTTTAATTTCCCTCAGGCCTCTCGCTGTGACGTCTCTGTTTTAAACTGCTCACGGACAGCGGTTCAGTTCAAAGAGACATGAAGCAGATGATGTTGTCTTTAGGTATTTAAAGAGCCTTGTGAAACGTGTTTTGTTAATACATTTTGGGTTGGGCAGTGTGAATCCAGTGAAAGACGTGTGTTTTGATGTGTTTATTTGATATTTTAAGCTTGAATACACTGTATATATGCCAGAGATGTTACACAGAGACACATAGCGAAGCAGCAGCAGTAGTGGTAACTGCACTCGTGCCAATGTTTCTGTATTGATCTGTTTTGCCCCTCACTCCACAGATCTCATTTCAAGTTCAATGTTGCCCAATTTCATTCAGGAAACAAAGCTGAAAAGTTCCTCATACTTACATCAGTGCATATGCTACATATTGTAGGGAGGCTGTTTATGTTTTCTGCATATTCATGAGGCTGGCAGAGACAGCTGTTTTCCGTGTAACCTACTTTTCCACATTCATTTTGTCTGACTAAATATCTCTCTTTGTGCTTTGTATTACCATTTAAAGCACACTGGAAAGATACTTCTGTGTTCAATGTTCATGGTTTAATGCTATTTATATGATTTATAGAGGTATACAGTCTGTTAGCTTGACTCCTAATGCCATCTCCATCTCCTACTGGGGCAGTGAACCTTTCATCTGATTATTTTAATCCTCATGAAGGGGAGACTTAGGGGGGGGTGGAGAGCTACTGAAGGTGGAGTGAGGGGACCACAAAGACTGTTAATTTATCAATACTGTATGCAAGTCCCCAGTAATCACAACTCCCCTTTTTATTTAGTTTGAATGCTGTCTTTCTACAGAATGAATGGCAAAGCAGTTTTTTGATATGGCCTGTAGGTTTGGGTGGAAAGTGCCAAATGAAACAAAAACAAACATTGTACTTAAACAGACTAGCGCTGCAACAATTAGTCGACGGAACAAGAATTGATAACTAAATTAGTAATACATTTGGTTAGCAATAAATAATAAACCTACTAATACATTTAAATACAATTATTTCCAAAGTAATTTTACATGAAAAGATTAGCTAGATTTCCTGCTTTTCTCAGTTTTATTTCATAATGAACTGAATATCTAGGTTTGGGACTGACAAAACAACGTCATTTATATAAAGACATCCCCCTGGACTTTAAGGGACGGGATGGACTGTTTTCACTATTTTCAGACATATCAACCAAACCCATAAGCTATAAAACATCTGGCAGATTCATCGAAAATGGAAATAATATTAAGCCGCATCTACCCTTTCCATACTGTACTGTACATATTCAGCATATCTGATATCACTAATATTATCCTTTCTCCATTTCCTCCAGATGAGATCATGCAGCTGGACAGCAGTCCCCTCCGAGCGGCTGACATCACCTCCGACCTCAAGAAGCAGTTTGCCATCCTTTCAGGTGAAACTTATTCATATCTTCTCCATCTTTCTGTCTTTGTGGGCAATTGGGGATTTGCGTTTCCCATCTCAGCTGCTGTCTGTCATTTTATTTCTTAATTAGCACACACCACTTATCATCCGTCATCTCTGCCACCTGAGGAATCATTTATATGTAACCTCTCCGCTTGATATTTGCATAGTTAATGTGAACAGTTTTCTCCTGGCAGTTATGCTTTGCTATTCAAATGTGACCTTCCTCCTTTTCCTCTTCGCCGTTAGTCTGTCTTCTTGCTGCTGTTTCCTAATCCATATTTCTCACTGCCTTTTGTATCTGTCAAGCTTATGGTAAAATACATATTTGTGTTTTATTCCCAGATATTTGAGGCATGTTTCACAGCCAGACATTTGTCACAGTTATGATCCAGTCCTACAGTAGTATTAAAGCTCTGTGTGTCTGAGGTGACCTTGTGGCTGCAGCAGACTCAGGGAACCATTTTGCAGACAAACATCCAAGCAGACGCTGAAACTATGACCATGCACTTGCTGTTGCTATAGCGATGAGACAAGAAAAGGCTGTCAGATTTATATTCCAGACACATGCGCTGACAGAGCAACTGTTTCACACAGGGAGTGTGTTTGTGTGTGTGTATGTCAAACGTGAGATTGAACATGTTGGTGTAATCACCGTTCATTGTGTAACAAACATGTGTTTTTTTATTCCATCCATGTTCGTCTTAAAATTATTTTTCTTAAAGAACCTCAAAACGCATTTTTCTCCGTCAGCTTCAGAAATGGAAACGCAATTTTATTCAAATTTAAGAACAGTTTTTGTTTTATTATTTCACTTGAGAGTTTCTCTTAAAACCTCAATATTTCAAAATAAGAAATGGAATTGGAAGAAAATGATTCTATCTCAAACTACAGGCTTCTTCTGTTTGCTTTAAAATAGAAGCGTTTAAGATTAAATCCTTTTTAGATAGATAGACATTGCAGTTTCCTTTCTGTTCAGTTTCCAGACTCAAGCATCAGCGCCCCCATGTGGCCACAGTGTCCTTCACTCAGTGATTATTCCCTTTTATTCCTCCTGTAATAAATCAAGAGACCTCTCCTTAGCGGTTTGATTAAACAAAGCCCCTGACACGGCGACTGACAGCATGAAAGTTATTATCAGCTCAAATGGTTTTATTGTTGCCTCAGTTATTATACCATCATATATTTTGAGCACTGTACTGAAATGCAACATCCCCAAGGACGCAAAACATTGTTATGTCATTTTGTATATTCACGCAAAAGGTACTTCTGTTTCTGTTGTTTTTTGGTTTTCTAGGAGGAAGAGGGGATAGCGGCAGCCCCATCATTGTATTCCCAGAATTCCCTGCGTTTGGAGAGATCACGGACGGAGAGTTTCACAACGTGCTGACCTACCTGACCAGCGTGCCCAGGTAAAGTCTGACACTGGCTGAATGTCACACAAACAGACCTGAGATGTTGAATGTGCATGTACTTTTTTTCTCACCTCTTATATCATCTCTGATTTCTATTGATACATTTCCTTGTACTTTTTTTGTTTTAACTACCAAATTCACCTGCCACAACCTGCCCAGTTGATGCTGATGAAATTGCTTGGGTTTATAGTTAAACTGCGAGCAACAGCCATAATTAAATATATACTAAGACATCGATTAATAAAGGTAGAAGTGATGTTTGTGGGTGTGAAGACATGCAGGTCAGGTGAACTGAAAATAGATGGATGGGGGAATAGATAGAAATGACTTGGAGAGAGGCAATATATAGATAAAGGTGTTGTTCCTGAAGATGCTTTTGTTTATGATGTCTGCCAGTAGGTGGCAGCGGGGGCCTCATCACAGTTTAACTGCTTAAAGGGTTATGCTGCAGAGGATTTGTGCAGTGGAAGAGACACTCAGTGTATTGCATATATGTATTTAGGGGGAGAGTGATTCCTTGTATTAATAAGATGGCCAATTAATCATCCCTGGTCTTTATCAGTCCTCTGCAGACAGTCTTTGTACACATGGTAGACCAGACGAGACATGGGGGGGAGGGGCAACGTACAAAACCCTCCCTTTCTTACAACTATTCCTCAAGAAAACCATCCCCCGTCCCATTTTCCTCTTTAATTTAATATTTGTACCTAACTATTGAGTCCTGTGTTGTCATGTGTTAGCTCTCCCTCTGGCTGTCCCACCCTTCTTTCGTCATTCCCACCCTTCTTTCGTCATTCCCAGAATGGCAAAGTGCTTAAAAATAGAGACTGCAGCGATGCTGACGTTTTGAATCTGAATAATACATACAGACAGCTGAGCAGAGCTGAGTCACGGAGTGTGTGTGCTCTTTTGGGTGTGTGTGATAATTCACATGAAACCTGTTCAGACTAATATGTCTATATGAAGGCAGACATGTGCTTCTTTTCTAGGCCTTTAAAACATCAATATCAATTCAGCCTGTTTTGTGTCACTTACTTGAACACGTTTTTAGTCAGGATTAAAAAATGTTAATCAACAGTATTATGTTTCAACATCTGGAACATCATTTCAAGTTTTTATTTCAAATCCAAGCTAAAAAACAGGTAACAGGCAATTTGCATTTATCATAACTTGACCTTCTTCGTGATCTGAGCCTTGAGGTTTCCAGTCATGTGACGGCAGGTCGTCCACAGGAGTGAGACTGCGTTGAGCCTCGAGCTGATCTGAGTACAGCGGCAGATGGCTGCAGCTACCTGAGGGACCGACTCCCCGACAGGACACACAACAAATACCTTTGGATCAATATTAACGGCAGACATAGGCCGTTTCTCAATCTCGAGGATGCTGGCTTGGTAGTCGTGTACTTCCAAGTCACTTCCTTCAGAAACGAAGCAAGTATACTT